TCTTGTCCCAGGTGAGGTCTCCCACGTCGTGGTTGTGGGTGAACTCCAGGTGGGCCTGCCACTTCAGGGTCTGCTGCGGGTCTTCCACCAGCCCTGCACCCAGCGTCCTGTCCGAATCTGTGGATGCCCCCAGCCCAGCTGTCAGTCTGTCACTCACCTCCATCAGGCCTGCGAAGGGAACCAGTGCCCCCCAGCCCCCCCTCACCAGGATGGGCACCCAGCTTGAACCTTGGCACCGCTCTGGCTCCTCCTTCACCTCCTCGCCTGGGGCCCTCCCCCACGTGGACCCTCTCCCCTCATCGGGCCACCACCGAGGGCACAGCAGCTCTGGCTGTCCTCCACAGCAGTCAGGCGCCTTCTCAGACACAGGCCCGCCCACATTACCGCTCAGACGGCATCTTCCTGGATTCTGAGCCATACAGTGCCCCATCCTCCTGCCAAGCCCTGGCACCCCCACCGTTCCAGCCTGGTTCAAAAGCTTGTCTGCCACAATCCCCGCAGCCGCTTTGCTGGCTCCTAGTTTTCACAGCCCTACTAGACCCAGGGACCCACAGGGCCATCAGGCATCTGGGGAGAGCAGGAGGGCAGGGCACTCTGGATTTGAACTCAGAGTTAAACCCCACACTGGTGTGTGTCCCTCCAGCCCCAGCTGAGAGCCGCCGCCCAGACAACTGAGGGCAGAGCAGAAAGAGGCCAATTCATCGCCCGGGTCACATCCTAGTGACGCATTGCCCTAGGCTCAGGCCACAGCTTTCCACAGACCACTTAGGTCTACTGAGGGCAAACCAGTGGGAATGGCCCAGCAGCCCTCTCAAGGAATGAATCTGTATGATAAAGCCATTGTAGTGGGACACCAGCCACTGCGGCCGGCCAAGGCAGGTACTCCCCTGGTTTGACGGTAAGTGAAGAGATGAGCTACAGAACAACGTGGACCCAGTATCCGCTTCGTCACAAGAAGTACACAGTTCACGGAAACATGGGATTCAAAGACAATGGGATTTTCCCAGGAACTTTGAAGACACACCCCTCCAGAGGTGAGCAGTTATTTTGGAATGTAGAATTAGGGGTTAACTTGGTTTTAATATTTATATTTTCTCAGCTTCTCTACAATGAGCGTTATTACTTGTACTATCAGGTACAGGTCACTGAGCATCACTACATGATGTCACGCAGGGCCTGCTGGGGGAGAGGCGGGCTGGAGCCACTCCTACCTTCCGTGCTGTCCACGCGGAAACCGAACTCATCGTAGCGGAGCTCCGGCTGCCCCTCGGCCTCTTCCTTCTAGAGCAGGTGAGGAGGAGCAGCCAGCTGGCTTCCCACAGCTCAGGCTCTCCGGCACACACACACACCAGCTCCTGGACGTGAGCTGGGGCCTTGGGTACAGGCAGCATGGAGACTGTCTGGGGACTCAGGGGGTCGGCACGTGCTGTCAGCTGAGCATCCCTCAGAGCTCAGATTCATTTGGAACAGTTTGATTGCCACCCCACCCTGCTATAAAATCCTAAAGTTTAATTCTGTGAATGCCATTAAGGCTAAAGCCCCCTTTGATTTCCTTTTTCACCTAAGTGGGGCTTCCTGCCACACCACCCTTCAGAGCAAGCCAGGTACCCGGTTACTCTGCCTCCCCCACAGCTCCAGGACACGCCCAGCCTTGGCAATTTCTACCTGTGTGCACTTGGCCAGGATCTCCTGGGGCCAGATGCTGGAGGTCAGGGCTGAGAAGGGACCACCAGCAGCAGGTGTGTGGCTTCCTGGAATCCAAGAGGGGCAGGCCCGGGGACCAGTCAAGAAAGGGCAGAGAGCTCCGAAGCACCCTCACGTCAGAATCCCGCTCCACGCTGCCTTCCAGCATGAAAAGGACGGGACCTTGGACACGGGAGCATCCCAAACAGGAACAAAAGGCTCTGAAGCAACCACCTTCCCGCCTTTTCCTCCTCCTCCTCGGGGAGGCAGGGACAGGGACAGAGGCTAGGGGGCTGGGAAGGGTGTTTTAGGAACTCCCAGAGGGCAGCCTCCACCTTCTTTCTCCCACTGTCTATTGGACCACAGAGAGTAGGTCCCATTCCCAAAGAGAAGCACCTCCCTCGCTGACCCCATCATGCCCACTTCCTTCTACCTGACATCACGCCGTGACTTCACTCCTCCTGGGTCTTGGAGTTGGAAGGCTCCTCCTCAGGCCTCATCTGGTCCCGACTCATCTGCCTGTTGGGGAACACAGAGGTACCTGGTTCCAGGGCAGCTCCGTGGCCAGGCCCGGCAGTGGGAGGGAGGGGAGTCAGTGGCCAGAGTGCTTGGCCCATGACAGAACCAGACAGACTCCTGATGCTCAGCGCTCAGCAAATGTTCCTTTAAAAGCAAAAACCACCCAAACACTCTGACTACATTTCCCCGAGCCAGTCTTTGAGGAAACACCTGGAACCCAACTTACCTCTGAACCCATCCCCCATTTCCCCGGCACCCACCTAGTGCTCACCAGCCCAGCTCAGAAACGGCAACCCCACCTAGAGTTCTCTTCTCGCAGTTGAAGCCACCCTCAAACCACCCACGTCCTCAACGGAAGACAGTCACCCAGCTAAAAACAGACGAGACAGGTGAACAACAAACGGGACAGGCCACGGAGAAGGTGCTCGACTCCAGGAACCCTTATGGTTGGGCTGCAAGTGTGCTCGACTCACAGAGACACCCCCAACCCCCCGGGGCAACGCAGACAGCCCACTGGGTCCCCAAGACTGTCAGTCTTTACCGGGGCAGAGGACCAAGTCTTGTCTCCTGAAGAGCGGCTGGTAGATTTGAACCCCCTACCTCTCAGTTCTCATCTGAGCTCTAAACCATTGTGCTTTTAACCAAGGCTTCTTCCATTAGCCATTCAGCCCAAACCCACTGCTGCCATGTCAGATCTCACTGAGAATGGAACCCCAGGGTGCAGAGGAGCCCCAGGGGCTTCCAAGGCTATATACATCTATATGGAAGCATCTGTGGCAATCGCTCTCCTCCGGAGCGGCTGGTGGGATTGAAACACCAACCTTTTGGTTAGCAGCTGAGCACGAACCACTGTGCCAACAGGGCTGCTCTTCATTAGCCACTAGCAAATGCAAATGAAATCACAAGGAAATAAGGCCCCCGCCTGAAGTTCCTTTCGGGAGCTGCGGGCCTGCGCTGGTCCTGGGCCTGCTGGCTGCACTAAGCATCCAGCTTGTACCCCATGGTGCAATTCAGTGGGGTGCAGGCCTCACCGCCGAGTCTTCTCACAGGGTGGTCTCTGTCGACAGAGTCTGGTGGCAGAGTGGCTTGCTCACAATTTTTAAAATATTAGCATGATTTAATTTTTTTCCTTTTGGTGAACTACACAACTGCATTAC